TGAGTGTTATGTGTCAATGTTCCATGAGAGAAATTGGCATAAAAGTAACCCATGTGTGAAAGACAAAAACCATTTTAAGAGATTGACAAAGCCAGTAATGTTACCTGTCACATGCTTAAAAGGACTTACAAATAAAAAATGTCTAAAATGTGTAAAAAAAAAAAAAGGCAGACAGGATTCGGTAGCAGAGATGCTTCGGGTTCATTTTAACTCAGAGTTCAAGCCCTCTCTTTATTGAATGTCTCTTCACACTGTGCTCACTGTGTTTAGAGCCACTGTGTTAAATGAGAAGAAATGGCTCAAATAAATCAAACACACAGCATGTGGGCAAACTCAGTGCGCCCCTCGCCCCCACCCCAAACCCCCCGTTATTTGAATGAGTCAATGAGTTTGTTTGTTTTTTCTCCCCTCAAGGTCCATGTTGGGGTTACTTATCATTTAAAGAAATTTTTTAGAAGTAAGCTCATCCATCTAAAGCCATTTCAAACTGTGGATTTTAAATAATGTGCAATCAACATTTTTCAGTAAATATATTCTTTTGAATACTCACTGCTGGTGATTTGCCAGCATACAAATATTCAACTATCCATAAAGTAGCAGGCTGTAATTGTACTGTTTAGTTGTATTCCTTCAAGCAGACGCTAACGCCTTTTGGGACAGGCAGCAAAATAATGATTTCCAATCAGAGGTTTTGCTGTCTCTGTTGATTAAGTGGAACAATAACTTCTGGGTTTCAGTGCAACAAATAATAGTTGTGACTCTTCAAACTAAAAGTAATACATGCAAAAGGTTGCGCCATCAAAATCACATTTGCATCTTTGGCTACATTTTTAATCAGCTGAAACCTTTTCAGTTTGTTCTTTTTCTAAAGCAGGAAAAATTTGTCTCAGGGCTCAAACAGAAATGTTTGCATTTGTGTTCTGTTGAATCAAACATGACAAAATGTAACTATGTGGAGATCAAACTTCAGCTCAGCCTGGATTGTTATAATGCAGAAAACTATAGTGGAGTGGTGTCAGGTAGGCGGCCAAGAAACACCAAGAAATAACTCTGGCTAAGCAGGACCCTCCACTTTGACAGACGTAACCGTAGCCAAGAAACAACGTTGGAAAAGGCGGTCAGGGTCCGGGGGTTGGTTGTCACAGTCCAGCCTGCCTCTCAGGAAATGTTTCCTGAGGCCTTGGGGACCAGGTGGGACACTGCTGTTACTGGGCCCTGGTGCTTGTGGGCTAGATGTAGAACCTGGAAGAAGAAGTTCACGGACAAGAGAAGAAAAGATAAGGCTTGTGGTTCCACTTAGTACCATTTACTATGATAACGCTGATGATATCTGTAAAGTGAAATCAGAGATTACCTGTTCACCAGGGAAACAAAAACTAACACAAGATCACACTTTCAGCATGATGAGGTAACTGTCCATAATATTGCATGGCTACTGGCTGTCAACAAGAATGACCAAAATGCATGATCATTTAGACAATCTTTATTTAAGCATCAGTTTTCTAAGTGATCCACTTTAGGGTCATGAGGGTGCTGGAGCCTACAAAGAGCAAGATGCCCAGGACAGATCACCAGTCTTTAGAATCACCCATTAACCCAGCATTCATGCCAGATTACCCGACATGGGAGGGAGAACATTCAAACTTTACACAGAAGTGGAGTTTTTTTGTTGGATATTGCAAATTCATGTGTTTTCTTTGCTATTTATGTGACACAGCATGTGAAAAGCCAACCAAAGACATGTTTGTTATCCTAACTTCAAATTTTATTTGTTACATACACATTTCGCAGTACAACATGCAGTGAAATGCTTGTCCAAGCAGACAGGCTGCAGGCGAGGCTACGCCATCTCAGGTCTACCCAGTTGCTGTAGAGATCGTTGTGTGTTAACGCAGTGTGCCAAACTGGCAACAACTTCACTGTCCACAATCACTCTCACAGCTATGTCAGAAAAATATGGCTAACTGAACACTTGATGACGCATAAAGTGCAAATAAACAGCACATTATTTTGTCTCAGATATTCCCCTGCTCAGCACAGGCACAGGAGTAACCTGTTGAGTCAGCCAGACAACTTTAACACTATGTGAGTTGTGATCAGTGGACTGTTTCTTGATAACCCAGTGGCATTTGTAATTAGAAGTTTGATCATTTACAAATGTGTTACAAGTTACTATTTATCTCTTTGCACTGTTACTAAACCACAGTAATTCAAAGAGTTTACATAGTGTGACATCTTCAAGTTACAAATTTACAGAAAATAAAGAAAGAAATCTGTTTTCACATGACTTAAAAAAATTAATACATTGTGGACTTCAACCTTGGCTAATGATAAATTACCAGAGAGTATTGGGAACATCTTAATCCCCCATCTCACCCCTTAATGTTAATCTTGTTTGAAA